GTACTTACTATGAGCTAATGGTAGCTAGAACTAAAGGCTCGAAGGGATTCAAGCTCAACTTTTTTAAAAAGAATTCTTCATTGCTGGGGTGAGTACTTCCTATTACATCATAGTAGAAGGTATATGTTGATGCTAGGTTTGAAGTGCAGGTTCTGGTTGCATCAGTCTTTTTTCTTCATTTTAAAGTTTTCCATTAACCTTAACCCAATAGTTTCAGTATCCACTGGTTATATTGCTTATATCTATTATGTCATTAGGGGTTTTAAAATGGTGATATTGTAATTCTAATATTTCTTCTATTAACTGGATTTATTTAAAAAAGGAGTTTCCCTCACTTTTCACACCCTTCCCTGAAAGAAAGTTCATGCAAGAAAGACAAGCTGAATCTTTTTTTTTTTTAAAGATTTTCACCCGAGCTGACGTCTGTTGCCAATCTTCTTCTTTTTTTTCCCTTCTTCTCCCCAAAGCCTCCAGCCAGTACATAGTTATATATTCTAGTTGTAGGTCCTTCTGGCTCTGCTTTGTGGGATGCAGCCTCAGCATGGCTTGATGAGCAGTGCTGGGTCTGCACCCAGTGCCCAGGATCTGAATTGGTGAAATCCTGGGCCACAGTGTGAACTTGACCACTCGGCCATGTGGCCAGCCCCAAGATGCATTCTTAATTATTTCACTTTATTTAACAAACTTCACAGTAATAATTTGGTGCCCTAGTAATTCCAGTTGTGACCAATGAGTTTAGTATCTCATCTATTGGCTATAGTTTAATTCATTGCACTTCTTACTCTTTTTACTGGACAGTTGATTCACCTTAGTTTAGTGAGAAGCCTTTCAAATGCGTCCTCTGTCTTTTTGGTATGGCTACGTTAGTGTCTGAGAGCTTCTTTGTTTTCTTATACTACTAGATATCCAAGCCTCATCTTTCACATTTCTGCACTGTGACTGGAATGAACCATTTTTCTGAAGAGCCCTGTTTCCTTATGCTGATGAATCATTTTTAGAGATTATAACCTGAGTATCGGTTTTCATATTGCTCCTCCATTTTATTAGTTCTAGGCATTTTCAGTGAGTAAGACTAGAAATAAATATTATTGGAGAGAATATAAAATGACTCTTCTTATTGATATTTTTAATTCACAGTTTTTATTAATTTATTTGATATCCAATATGACAAATCTTAGTTCATTAATCTATTTCAATTTTACCTATTTATTTTATCCTACAGAATACCTATTTTAAAGTAACAATGCTGCTACTACTAAAATATAACTGCTACTCATTGCAGTTTAAGATTTCTTTGCAGTTTTTTTGTCTGTAGAATATACGATCATATTTTTTGTTTGACCTATTTTCACGAAATATAGATACATTTTTAACCATTCAATAATCATTGTACTTGGAAGGTTAATTAAGTCCAAGATGGGGAAATAGGAACCAGATTTACCCTCCTGCTTAAAACAAGCAAACAAAACAGAAAAAATATATGAAATAATAGTTTTCAGGATGCTAGATGTCAGAAACAATTGATAGTAATAACTGAGAAATGGGAAGTGAAGAAGCTGAGCCCTAGAATTGTCCCAGTTTATTGCCTTTAAAAAGTTTCCATGTCATGGTGCAGAGAGGGATACCTGAGAAGACCGTGGTAGACTCCTTGAGTTGAGAAGATGCAGCTGAGAGTGTGAAGAGATCAAGGCACCGAGGCAGACCAAGGCAGCTAGAATTCTGAGGGTAGAATACGAAAGAGAATAGAGCTGGAGAGAGAGAGTGACAGAGAGAGTATACTGGAGAACTGCAGAGGCTCTCCCTCAGTTATTCATCAGTGTACAGCTCAGTGCATGCATTTGAGGAAACTACTTGAGGCTGGGGGCAGATTTATTTAGATGGATTAGAGAGAAGAGTGCCAGGGCTTTGAATTCAGTACTTGACTACTTAGGGAGATCTTGCTTCAGTAGTGGGACATAATTAGCCCTAGACGGAGCACTACTCCAGACCTGCCTAATAAACCATAACAGCAAGCATTAAAAAAAAAAAAATACAGAAAGAAGACATCCAAAACAATCAAACTACATATTGTATTCAGAATTTTGAGTGTATATTAATGTGAGATATTGATCTGATTATTTTCTTGCGATGCCCTTGTTTCATTCTGGTATCAGGGTTATGCTGAGCATATAAAATGAGTTAAGAAGTATTTTAATTTCTCTTGTCCCTGAAAATGTCTAAGTAAGGTTGGTACTATTTCTTGATTAACTGTTATATAGAGTTCATTAGTGAAACTATATGGGAATGGAATTCTGTTTGGGGAGGGGAAGAATTTTAAAGAATTAATTTAGGTAACAAGCATAAAATTGTTCCAGCTTTTAAATATTTTACTGTATATGTTTAGAAAGTTGTATTTTTCAAAGCAGTGGTCCATTTTCTCGTAGTTGACAAGTATATTGTCACAAATTCATTTATAATATCCTTTTGTTATCTTTTTGAGATCTGTAGAATCTTCAGTGATGACACTCTCTTTATTCTTGATTCTGATAATTTGTTTTTTCTCTTATCTTTCCTTAATCCATTTTGCTACGCACTTATCCATTTTATTAATTTTTCAAAGAATCAATTCCTAGGCTTATATATTTCATCTATTTTTCAATTAATTTCCATTTCATTGATTTCTGTCTTCTATTTACTATTTCCATTCTACAGTGTTCTCTGGGTTTATTTTATTTTTCCTTTTCCAGCTTCTTGAGATAGAAACAGTTCATTTCTTACATTTATTGTTTTCTAATACTTGCACTTAAGGCTATAAATTTCTCTCTAAGCACTCCTTTAGCTGCATCTAGTAAATATATATATAATCTTTCATATATATTTCACCCATATCTTTCATATCTGCTCTATATGCATATGGTATATCATTAACTTTCTGCTGAACATTTATTTTTAAAAATGATCTTATTTAATTTATACTGTGTTGCTTAATTCATAAATAATTGGGAAATGTTATATTTTTCTTATCAATTTCTAATTGAATTACATTATTCTAAGATATATATTCTGTATTATTTAACTCTGTTGGAATGCATCACAACTTTTTTATGGCCTAGGGTATTGTCTATTTTGGTGAAAGTTCTTGGGTGCTTTGAGATAAATGGAATAGTCCCACAACTGTGTTCTGTTTCCTCACTCCCACACTAACACAGATTCTACCAACTTGCCTGTCTGAAACTATGTGAAAAACTTTATCTTCATTTGAAATAAGTTTTAAATGACTTGTTCTGAAATCCATGTTCATCACCATCTGGAAGTCAGTTCAGATGTCATCTGCGAAGATACAGTTTAAGCTGAAATAAGTTTGCCAGTTTTGAAGGTTATGATTAAACAAGAGAGTTTTTAGGTATTCCACTTCTGCCCAGACTGTACTTTTCCCTTTTGGTGGTTTGACCTCAAGTTGTTCTTTTTATGATTTGCCCCCCATCAGAAGACATCGTTCTGAAAGTCCTCTTCTACGTGGTGATTATGCTGATGGCGTCTCTGGAGATGCAGAGTCTACCTTCAAAATCATGATTAAAGTCCCAGTGAATTTAATTAGAGAGGAATCTTCCCTGGAGATGCACCAGCTGAAGGACTCAATAATACGCACTGTGGTTCAAACGTAGACAAAGTGCGTACAGACCTTTGCCCTTACCTCAGAAATGTTTGCCTGTTTCAATATTCACAGGACTGGCTTTTTCAGGAATTGAAATGATGGATGCAGAACATAGTAAAGTATGTATATAAAATTACTCTCCATCCTTCAGGCAAGCCAAATTCAGTGATGCTGTTTGAAGACAGGCCAGTATACCTGATTGAGAATCAAAATGTTGTTAAGGCTATTTCACTTTTATTGGTGTAAAATGCAAACTAAAAAACATTTATCTCAACAATTCCAAATTTTCTCTCCCACAAAGTTATTTTTTAACGTGAAAATATTGATTTACTATTTGTCTATTATTAGGACAAATTCTGCTGACAATGAAGTTTTGATCTCTTTGTTCACAATCAAGATTCAGACTTCTTTAGGTTACAGACACTCATACTCATTTTGAAAATCCCAGCAATTTGTTAGGTAACATTTTTCTGAAAGACTGAAAGGAATCAGACTACCTGCAGGCATGGACAGAGTTGGTTACATGGAAACAGGTCAAAGTCCAGTGACGGTGCATGTGTTATTTTGCTCTCTGTGTTCACAGAAATGGCAGCAGTGCGTGAAGGACAAGGGGGAAGGCAGCACAACATGGAACCTAGGTGTAATGACTGTCTCATTATGCAGGTAACCCAGAAAGTATATTTATGCATAAGATTTTGAACTAGGCTTTACATTTACAAGAGTGCTTTAGTGGTATGGGAATTCACAGACTTAAAAGTTCTCCTTTGTAGTTCTGATAATCAGCAATATTAAGGATCCTTTGTGATCGCTAAAATATATGGAGGTTGATTCAATTGTAATACTCTTTTGCATATTTTCATATGAAAAAGTTTTAAAATAAATTTACCTCCTCTTACATCAGTATTTTTCGAAAATAATTTCAAGTGTGACTATTTAGGGATGTTATAATGGGCAGATATTTCTAAATCTCATGATAGTTTCAACTGATATGTTCTCTAAATGTCGTTTGTTAATCTGTCAAAATTAGAGGATGATGTAGCATGTTACTTCAATTCCTGTTTTTCTGTTCACAGGTGAGCTTCAGCATTTATCATATATTTGTTGACCATTTGTATGTACTCTTCATTCAATGTCTTGTTTATATGATTTGCCCACCTTGCAGTTGGTTTGTTTTTCTTTTGTTTGTTAATTGCTTAGAACTCTGTCTGTGTTGATGTTAACTCTATATATGCCCTCTAAAATGTAAATTTTTTCCGCAAACTACTTTTGTCTATTGATATTATGGTATCTTTTCTTAAATCCTTAAAATTTTTTGAAATCTTCAAATATGTCTATTTGGGATTTCAATTATTAGTTAAGAAGATTCTTCTAAGCTTAGAATGTAGAAAGACAGCTCCTTTATTAACTGGATGATAAATGTAAGTTAAATCTTGCTTTAGTTTTTAATTAAACCTTTAATTTATTTTTATTTTATTTTTCTGTAAGATATTAGACATATGTACAATTTTATTAACTTCCAGATGGAAAGCTAGTTGTGGCAACCCATTTATATAATAATGTATCTTTTCCCCACGTAAGTCTCTAATTACTTGTCTCTCCATTAGTCTGCAAGATTACTGAGGTTAGGGACTATTTTTTAAGCAGCCTTGTATTCTTATAATCTCTGAATGTACTGGAACATGATAAGTCATAATGCCTATTTGTTGAGTGAATAAACAAATCACCTTAAGATTTTAGGAAGCCACTAGTAATAATCCCATTTACAGGTAGGTTTGTTCTGAACTCTGAAATAAGATGTAGAGAAGAACCTATGGAACAAAGGAGCAATGTGACTGAGTTTGTCCTCTTGGGGCTCATTCAGAGCCCCCAGGGTCAGAAAATATTATTTGTAGTGTTCTTGCTCCTCTATATTGTGACAATGGTGGGCAACCTACTTGTTGTCCTGACTGTGGTGGTCAGCCCAACCCTAGATGCCCCTATGTACTTCTTTCTTGGCTACTTATCATTTATGGATACTGTTTATTCTACTACAGTCATCCCAAATATGATTATAGACTTACTCTATGAGAAGAAAACTATTTCCTTCCAAGCTTGCATGAGCCCGCTTTTTATATGGCACTTATCTGGTGGTGCTGAGATTTTACTCCTGGTGGTCATGGCCTATGACCGCTATGTGGGCATCTGCAAACCCTTGCATTATTTGACAATCATGAATCAACGGATGCGTGTTCTGCTGCTTCTGTTGGCCTGGGCTGGAGCTTTTTTGCATGCTATAGTTAAACTTCTCTTGGTTTATAACCTGCCCTTCTGTGGCCCCAAGGTCATCGACCACTTCATCTGTGACATGTACCCATTATTAAAACTTGCCTGCACTGACACCTACATTGTTGGTCTCACTGTGGTTGCCAATGATGGGGCAATCTGTGTGGTCACTTTTATGCTCATACTCATATCCTATGGGGTCATTCTGCACTCCCTGAAGAATCTTACTCAGGAAGGGAGGTGCAAAGCCTTATCCACCTGTGGCTCCCACATCACTGTGGTGGTCCTCTTCTTTGTTCCCTGTATTTTTGTGTATGTGAGACCTCCTTCTACCTCACCCATTGATAAATGCTTGACTGTGTTTTATGCTATCATCACCCCTATGTTGAACCCCTTAATCTACACTCTGAGAAATGCAGAGATGAAAAATGCCATGAAAAAGATCTGGACAAGAAAAAGAAAATGAGCCAGCAGAGAAATGTACTACATCTTTTCAATGAAGAATTGCTCCTTCCAGGAAAGTCATGTGTGATTATTTAACTGTAGTAAATTTCTCCTCATATTTAATAACTTGGGCATGATGATAAACATGTATTACCTAAATATAGCCCATGATCAAGATACATTTTTTAAGATTTTCATAATTTATTAGGAAAATGTATTTCAGTTTTAGTTTGTAAAATGTCTCTGCTGAGACTATAGCTTTATGTTTGATGTTATGAGTTATGCTACAGTTCATGATGTAAATTAATTAGTCAATAGAAGATTTTCTCTTGTTTCTCTTTTAAATAATGTAACCTTTTTCAGAATTAATAGTGCTCATTACAAATTTCATAAATATAAAATAAAATATATAACAAAAACCTTGTCTCACTCCTCTCCACAGAGACAGCTCATATTAATATTTAAAATATATCTTATGTTTGTATCTATGAGATACTTTAAATATGTAATTTTGTTCATAGTTCTTAGTACAGTAAGGTTGAAGAGGAATGATGCTTGGGAGTTCTAATATTAATCATAAGGAGGCTAAGTATATAAAAACATTTGAACGAACAAGATAGAGATGCAGAAAAATAAATCTTGTGTATTGTTCTGATCGGGAAATCATAGTGTATCCTCAAGTGGAACGACTTTGTTTGGTGTTAAATTTTAAATTTTCGTAAAGATAATCCATTAATCTTCCCAGATAGTTTATAATATCTGATCACACCTCTGCTATTTTTCAATATCCCCATCTCCTTTTTTTGCTTATAGCGTTCCACAGCCTTCTATGGTGACCCAGGCCCTACCTTTCATATGTAAAGTTAGCATAACCTATAATCCATGAGCTTCAAATATGCAATACAGAACTCTACACCAGATATTTCAGGTGATATTATTAAAAAAGATGCTGACAATATATGCTATTCTTTCTTCTCTTATTAATGGAATGTAGATTATTAGGTAATATAGAAGCCAGAATATATTGGTTTACTTGACAGAGACCTCAATCATAAAATCTTCTCTCTCTCTCTGAATGAGGCTTTAAAGAAAATATTATCATGGACATGGCAAAAAGATGGCTGTCTGTGAACTAGAAAGTGGGTCCTCACTAGACATGGGATCAGCCAGCACCTTGATCTTGGACTTCCGAGCCTCCAGAACTGTGAAAAATAAATGTTTGTTGTTTAAGCCACCCAGTCTATGGTATTCTGAAATAGCAACCCAAATGAACTACGACAGACATTTAGTTAATTTTCAAATTTGTATTGTTGTTTCAATTGATGAGATTAAAATCTTTATTAATTGCCTATGTTCACTGGTCTATAAGCTTCCTGAAGTCAGGGAAAGTTACTTAGTTGTCTCTCTTTCTTGCATAATGTCTTGGATATAGAACACACTCCATAAACTTTGTCTTTACTTGTATCCTTGAATTCTTGTTCTATGGGAATGAGAATTTTTACTGATGAATTTTGATGAACTCTTTCTACATTAAATATATATATTTGCTAAAAAATTTGCTGTTCTTTGATATTTGCTAAAAATATTAACCTTATGTTATTTATGCTATAATTATGGGTATTTTATATAAAGATTTTATATTTTAATATTCTTTTATTTTTTGATTTCTTCTATCACTGTTAGCACTTTAATATTTATAAAATCACTGAAGAAAATGGAATTTTCCAAGTCTGGCCTCATGGCTGAGTGGTTAAGTTCCCACACTCCACTTTGGCGGCCCAGGGTTTCACCGCTTATCAGTGCCGTGCTGCGGTGGCGTCCCACATGCCACAACTAGAAGAACTCACAACTAAAAATACACAACTATCTACCAGGGGACTTTGGGGAGAAAAAGAAAAAATAAAACCTTTAAATTGTTGTTTGTAATAACTTTTCAAAAAACTTTTTTAACCCGTCTGGAATTTAATTTTGTTTATGATTAAGAAATATCTAAGCATATTTTCCTGAAACAGGTAAAACAATCTGCCAACATTATTGTTAACATCAATAATAATTTGAAATTTTTCTATATAATATGTCATTTTATACATTTAAAGGGTTTAACCTTGGAGCCATTTCTCCTCCTTCTCCTAATACTCATTTTCCTTCTTCTTCTTTGACGTATTCCCCTACCACTAACATACTATTTCAGTGGTAAAAGATTTTTAATGTGTACTTGTATTTAGTAGGGGTGGTCTCCCCTAATTTTTCATCTTTTTCAAAAGTTTCTTACAATTCCTAAATTTTTATTTTTCCTGATAAATTTTAGGATCATTTTGTAAAGTTTCAAAACTTCCCATAAAAATATATTTGGAATATCATGATTCTAGACGTTTATTTTAAGGAAAATGGCATGTTTTAATATCTTGTTTTCTACTAACAACTAGGTGGTCTGTAGGATCCAGGACATCTTAATTCACATTCATATTATCTTGGAAGTGATGTCTGGAAGAGATCCACGGAGTGCTTCTCCCTATCCATTTAGATGCAGGACCACAAGCAGGACAGTCATTATTTTATTCAATTCAAGGTGTCAGGCCAATTAAGGGGTATGTCCAAAACTAACACACTATCACTTTCACAATCTTCTATTGATCAAAGCAGTCATATGGCCTGCCAGGTTTTGAGGTAGTGGAGAAATAGATGACAACATCTGTTGGGGGGACTGGCAAAGTCACATTGCAGAACAGCATGTTGGATGGAAGATATTGTATTCATTCTTTGAAAATATAATTACCTACATCTCTGAAATGGCATGCTGGAAATTTCATTCAGATTGAGGTGAATATATAGATCCTTTTGTAGTGAATACCATCTTAGCAATGTTGAATTTTCGAAATAAGAACACAATATATCTATTTACTTGGGTATTTTCAAAAAGTAGTTTTTAGTGTAGGGATATTATTCATCAAAAAATTATCAAATATTTTTGTTGTTGTTTTCAGATGCTATTGTAAAGGATACTTAACATTTTTTCCAATTGTTACTGCTGCTAATATATAGAAATACAATTGAATATTTTATTTGGACCTTGAATCCTACAAACTTGCTAAATTCACTTATTTCTAGTAATCTCTGTAGATCCTTTAGGATTTTCTATGACGCAATCGTTATCTACAAAAAAAAGGACAGTTCATTTCTTCATGAGATATAGGAGTATTTACCTTTCCAATTTCTTTTTGAGTCATTTTCAGAAGTATGTGTTTTTTCTATATTTTACCCATTTTATCTGTTATAAAATTTATTGGAATAATGTTTTTAACAAAAACCTTAACTATTCTTTTAACGTCTGATGGATCTGTATGATGTCTATCTCCTTTTTCATGTCTGATATTGGTAATTTGGATTTTTCTCTCTTTTCTCTTGATCACTCTTGCTAGAAGTTTAACAGTTTTTCTATAAGAGTACCAAATTTTGGCTGTTTTGTTTTTCTCTGTTTTATGTTTTCTAATTTATTGATTTTTCATCCTATCATTATTATGTCCTTTTACTTTGGCTTTAATTTACTTCTCTTGTCCTAGCTTCTTAAGATAAAAGCTTAGATAGCTGCTTTTAAGACTTTATCTTTAATATCACTATTTAAAGCTATAAGTTTCCTTCTAAGTACTGTTTTGGTTGCATCTCACAAATTCCAATATGTTTTTATTGCTTATTTATAAAATCCACTTATTTCTACTATGATTTCTTCCTTGATTTATAGGTTCTTTAAATATTTATTGCTATTTCCAAATACTTGGAAGATTTTCTAGATATCTGTGTTAAATTTCTATTTATGCATGAAAAATATCTCAAAACAGTGACTTGAAACAAGACACGCTTCTAATCTCACAGTTCCTGTACATCAGGAAACTGGGCATGATTTATCTGGTCCTTCCACTTCAGCATCTCTCACAAGGCTATAATCAAGGTGTTGGCTGGAGCCACAGTCTCATATGAAGGCTCAGCTGAGGAAGGATCCGCTTAGCTTGCTCACATGATCGCTGGCAGAATTCAATTTCTCAACATAAATTAAAAATCTCTTCAAACTATAATTCTAATTACATCCCACTGCTTTTTGAAATTGTTGTCATACATCTTACTACAGCAAATGTTATAAACCCCTGAATATATTATTAATCTTCCTTTAAATGATTACTTTTTAAAAATCATTTAAGAAAAAGTAGAAAAATACATTCTCTGTTTTATCCATATATGTCATTTCCACTTTCTCCATTCTTTTCTGTAAATCCTTATTTCCACGTCTCAAATACCTAGCTGATTACTAAGCTGCTTATATGCTGGTTGAGACTACATTAAGCTCAGCCAAAAAATAGCTGAAAGTCTGAAAGAGTGAGCAGAAATTTCACTTTTCTGAAATGAAGCTGAGCAACATCCCAGTGCAGAGGTATGGGGAAAGAGTTTGGAGTTCAAGTTCTGCTGGTTCAGAGTCACTTATTAAGGGCATCAGACTTTCCATTGAAACACAAGAAGGTGCATGCCTCACAATTAATGTCTACATCTCAGGATTAAGGACTATACTATAGGACTTTTAGCTATTCCTCTACCAACTGGACTACCCTTTTCTTTCTTTACCCTTTACAATTTCTACCATTTAACAGTTCAGGTGGGTCAATAGAGGCATTGCATTATATCTTTCCTACAAATAATATACTTCTCAGGAAAAGCACTAAATAAACTTCAATCAAGTTCTCTCACTCAAGTAAAAAGGGATTGAGTACGTTTTCCTAACATCAACTGACTTAATGTCACATGTGAGAAGTAGCTGAGTTTTATTTTCTAGAGTCAAGATAATCTCATGGGAAAGGAATAATAGTGTCTTTCCTAAGAGTTATCACCCATTTGTGTGCTTCTTTGCTTTCTGTCATGATTTTCCCTTTTAACCATTTATTACCCTTCTGAACCCAATTTCAGATTTTGATTTAGCCATTATTGTTTGAGTTGTGAGGGGTATAATATGTTCATGTGATATACTTCTTAGTCCATTTATGCCCACTAGACATGGGGAAATTTGTTTGCCTTGGTTGAAATTTGGGGGAGAAAATTGGCACGTTATGTATTGTTCCAACAGCTTGATAGTGTTTTCATTTATGATTTGGATCATAGGCTAAATGAAGTCCAAA